TAATAAAACAAAAGCTACAGGTGACTTTACAACATAATAAGATTGATATATAACAGGATATGTGAGGGATGAAGGAAGGGAAGCAGGTTAGAGAGGAATTATGCTAACCGTTTAGTTAAAATGCCTTCTTGAAGAAGTGAGTTTTCATTGAATATTTAAAAGAATTGAGATTGCCAAGTGTCTAATGGAGCAGGGAAGGAAATACTTACGGTACGGTGCAGCCCTGGAGAAGTCTTGGAGGTGGAGGATAGCCACAGGGTGTCTCAGAACAGAGACAGTTAGATGGATATCTGGTAATGACTGGATTAGAAGAAAATGCACTCAGTTATAACATTCATAGTTTCACACATAATGTTCTCATTGTTTTACTGAATATCTTTTCCATTTAGTGAAACACATTGAAAGACAAATAGAGAAAGGCAGGACGATAAATATTGACTATCAAAGCAGGAAATAAAAGGGCAGAATAGGTGAGATAATCAGCTTTTAACTGCTAACAGTTAGAGAAACAAAATCATTAAATGTCTTTCATCGTCCTACCCGCTGGCAGTCCAGGGGTTAATGTATCAGAGACCAGTCTCCTTCTATGGAATGGGATTCAAACATGTATCTCTTTGTTTTTTATCTCATAGCAACCCATCGTAAGTCCTCTCCATCACAGCGGGAGGTGCACGGTGACACAGCTGTACCTGACACATTGAGGATAATATTGGATTATCTCTGGTCCTATAATATCATATTATCTCTGGGTCATATAATATCGTATTATCGCTGGACCTATAATATCGTATTATCTCTGGGTCATATAATATCGTATTATCGCTGGACCTATAATATCGTATTATCGCTGGGTCCTATAATATCGTATTATCTCTGGGTCCTATAATATCATATTATCACTGGGTCCTATAATATCGTATTATCTCTGTCCTATAATATCTCTGGGTCCTATAATATCGTATTATCTCTGGGTCCTATAATATCATATTATCACTGGGTCCTATAATATCATGTTATCTCTGGGTCCTATAATATCGTATTATCTCTGGGTCCTATAATATCATATTATCACTGGGTCCTATAATATCATGTTATCTCTGGGTCCTATAATATCGTATTATCTCTGGGTCCTATAATATCATATTATCACTGGGTCCTATAATATCATGTTATCTCTGGGTCCTATAATATCGTATTATCTCTGGGTCCTATAATATCATATTATCACTGGGTCCTATAATATCATGTTATCTCTGGGTCCTATAATATCATGTTATCTCTGGGTCCTATAATATCGTATTATCACTGGGTCCTATAATATCGTATTATCTCTGGTCCTATAATATCGTATTATCACTGGGTCCTATAATATCATATTATCTCTGGGTCCTATAATATCATATTATCACTGGGTCCTATAATATCATATTATCTCTGGGTCCTATAATATATTATCTCTAGTCCTATGATATATTATCACTGGGTCCTATAATATCAATATAAAACCTATAATATCATATTATCCCTGGGTCCTATAATATCATATTATCTCTGGTTCCTATAATACCGCATTATCTCTGGGTCCTATAATATCATATTATCTCTGGTCCTATAATATCGTAATATATCTGGGTCCTATAATATCGTATTATCTCTGGTCCTATAATATCATATTATCTCCGGTTCCTATAATATCATATTATCTCTGGTCCTATAATATCATATTATCTCTGGTCCTATAATATATTATCTCTGGTTCCTATAATATCGTATTATCTCTGGGTCCTATAATATCGTATTATCACTGGGTCCTATAATATCATATCTCTGGGTCCTATAATATCATATTATCACTGGGTCCTATAATATCATATTATCTCTGGTCCTATAATATCGTATTATCTCTGGGTCCTATAATATCATATTATCACTGGGTCCTATAATATCATATTATCTCTGGGTCCTATAATATATTATCTCTAGTCCTATGATATATTATCCCTGGGTCCTATAATATCAATATAAAACCTATAATATCATATTATCCCTGGGTCCTATAATATCATATTATCTCTGGTTCCTATAATACCGCATTATCTCTGGGTCCTATAATATCATATTATCTCTGGTCCTATAATATCATATTATCTCTGGTTCCTATAATATCATATTATCTCTGGGTCCTATAATATCATATTATCTCTGGTCCTATAATATCATATTATCACTGGGTCCTATAATATCATATTATCTCTGGTCCTATAATATCATATTATCTCTGGTTCCTATAATATCGCATTATCTCTGGGTCCTATAATATCATATTATCTCTGGTCCTATAATATCGTAATATATCTGGGTCCTATAATATCGTATTATCTCTGGGTCCTATAATATCGTATTATCTCTGGGTCCTATAATATCGTATTATCTCTGGGTCCTATAATATCGTATTATCTCAGGTCCTATAATATCTGGGTCCTATAATATATTATCGCTGGGTCCTATAATATCGTATTATCTCTGGGTCCTATAATATCATATTATCGCTGGGTCGTATAATATCGTATTTCTGGTCCAAT